TTTAGTGCTCCGTATACCTCACTCCTCTTGCCAATAAGCATTTGTTTGCCAACTTGCAGTTATGAATCGAACACCTGAACTGGCTAAAACTGGCACATGCCCTTTAAATAGTTTAACAGCTGCACACATATAAGTGGCTGTATCTTTCAGAAGCATCTGAGTGCTAAACTACTGATCAACAGTATGCAAATTGAGCAGAAACTGTGGGAAGAAGCCCTATTTCTGTGACAGCCTCTCCTGCAACTTTCCACTTCCCCATCTCCCCTCCAGCTCAAGGAATAATTGGAAATCTGGAGGTAGCCACCACAAGCCCATAAAAGCTCTCAGCCGCTTCACACCAGGTAAAGTCCAGTCCAAAAGCAGCCCTGGCTTCAGAGACAAACTGCTCCCTGCCCTACATTGACTACTGACTAGAAACAGCTGAGGATTCAAGTCTTTACCCTCTTTCACCTTCACTTGTCTATATAAAGAAACACAGAGTGTGTTTTGAAATTAAAAAAAAAAAAAAGAAGAAGAAGAGAAGAAAAGAAGGATGTGGTTATGCCATTTAGTAAGAGTACTGGTAGGGTATGGTCTGTAAGCAAATGCTCCCATGCTCTGTAGAACAACCTGGCCTGAAGCAATGCTGCTGATCTGCTTGTTGGGGTTCAGGTAAAGTAATTCATATTTTAACTAATAACTTTTTTTTTTCAATAATTTAATAGCAGCGTTGATTGTAGAGCACTATTTTTAAGCCAGTTGATGGTTATTTCTTATAAAGATCAAACAGTAAATCAAACATGTAGTGCTGCTTAGCTTAGAGCAGAAAGAAAGATTTCTGCTTTAGTGATAAGCATAAATATATTCTGTTGCAATCAAAATACTTAGAATAAAATGATAAGAAATAATCCAACTACAGAAGAAATATATGGCAGATGTGGCACATACTGCTCTTCATTGCACTAAGCCATCTTACTCTTCTCCTGTGCATCCACAAGAGAATAATTTATGTCTAACATGAATAATGTTCTAGAAAATAGATATAAACAAAGTCTGCTTCATAGCAGTAACGTTACTTGGTTTGTATTGATTAGGAGGGTAATTATGGTAAATGCTATAAAAGTCTTTGCTGAAGCAGTGACCTGAATTTTCCTCATTCCTCTTTTGTAGTATAGCTAGATTAAGAATGATTGGTTTGCTGTATTCTGTCATCTGATTATCATTTCCTTACTATTAGAACCACCCCTACACTTACAGTAAGTTATAGATTTTATGATGAGGATGTTCCTGCTAATGAAGCTGTCATGGATAAGAATATCCTTAATCTGTCGTCCCCAGTCTGTCCTAACATACAGACTCGTGTGAATCCCAACTAGAGCCAGATGAACTCAGATCTGAGCTACAAAGAGGAAACCATTCATGCATCCCACTCTGCTGCAAAAAACCTAGCAAAGCTAATACTGTAAAACCTTGCTGTTCCATTTCCTAGGTAAGTACACCTTTGCTGCTAGCTTAACCACAAGCTCCTGCTATCAGTAAACCCAACTAACATATAACTAGTCCATAGGAAGTGGAAAATCCTCACTCTGTAGAAGAAATCGAGAACAAATGGAGCAGTGATGACACGGGGTCTGGACCAGCTAAGACACATTCCCTCAAGTAGTGTTAATTACAGGTTCTTATGTTACCTTTTGGCTTCTAGAAGTTGTTTGAAACAATCCTAGAGCTGCAGGTGATTCCTTCAGGAAACTTGTGGAAGACAGAGGAATTTTCTTCAGAAGACTGGAAAAGAGCAAACGTGGTGCCTGTCTCTTAAGAAGGTGGAAAAGGAGGAGTTCGGAAATGGTAGATCACTAAGCCTGGCTTCAGTATTTGGAAAAATATTGGAATCACCCACTGAAGAATCTGTTTGCAAGCACCCAGAAGACAATGCAACGGTAAGTAACAATCTGAGAATGACTGAAATAGAAGTATTTTGACTTTCTTCTGTGACACGCTGACAGCACTGGGGGATGGGGCGTAGGAGAGGGAAACAGTCTCAAACACTGTCTTTAAAGAAATTCTCATGAGCAAATGAAGGAATCATGATCTGTATGAAACTTCTATATGATTAGCGAGTACCCACTGAGATACTAATCAGCCTCTGCCATACAAGAAAGATGTATTTGGTACAGTATCTTTCAGATTCAGTATCATCAGTATTTTTATTAATAATTTGGACAATGCAGTAAAGATGATGCTTATGAAATGACTGCAAGGTTATTTGTGAATGAAAATGGATCTTCAAATAATTTTGGGCAAACATATTACTCCATGTGAACTCTTTGCAAACAATTCCCTTGGATTACTCAAGATGTGAAATTTAAATTTGAGGGAAGGCAAAATGATTTAAAAAAAAAAAAATCAAGTTTTTGAGAATCAGGCACTCCATTTGAGTACTTGAAATAACCAGTTTAAAGGCTGGGTAACATTTTCTTAAAATTAACCATTTTCAGGAGTAATGCTATACATAATTTTGTACTAATTCTAAAAAAAGCATTCAGTGAAATAGAAACCCAGTAAAAGTAGAATCAAAACTCATACTTTTAAGAGACATCACAAGCAATTTTCTGATATATTTATATGGCACACAAAGTGCTGAATTAACAGGTGTTTTCACTCCCCCAAAATGTTTAATGCCATCTGATTTTTCCCCAGCTAATTGGATGCTCTTGGTCGCAGGACACACACGCTCACACAACAGCACAACACTCCTATTTCTTCTTACCTGTCCTGCCCTCAGGTCACAGAAGCGTCTGCCTACAATAATCCCTTGTACACGTGGCACCAATGCATCTCCACCTTTAGTGGAATTATCTCACCTCTCATGCACCACGATCACATGAATTTTCTAAGCAGCTGCCACACAGTGCTGGCTCAGAGGGATCGACTCAATCTCAGATTGACTAACAAACCAAGGTTTTCTTTTTGTTCTCATTTCTGACAGATAAATCCACCGATAACAATCAGATTTCCTTTTGCTATTTCCTAAGTTCACAATGCTGCGACAGTCCCACTCATGCGGCTTAGTCCAGTTCTCTGGAAGTGGCAGTTGGATCCGGCCCCTGACCAACAGCACCTCCCCGCAGGTCACACTCGCTCTACAGTGGGGTCACTGGGGGAAACACTGCCAAGGAGTAGTCTCGGCAAATTTGTGCATCCCCCTAGTAACTGGCATCCAGCCTGTTTGTAGTCCTCATCAGCTTGCTTGCAACAATTTCCTCACCTACTTGTTCTAACCTCCAGTTTTTCTAGTGCTATTTAGTTATTTCTAATACACTTTACTGAAATGCAAGTGCCTTCAATCTTCAGCCTTTCCCTTATCTGGAAAAGCAGACTCTTCGTCAAAGAAGATAATGGTCTGACAAGATCTGTCAAAGCCTTATTTAGTAGTTTTCTTTAAAAACCTGTATGAAGCTTTGACTCAATAGTTATAGAATTGCTTTAATCACATTTGACACAAAAAAAAGACTAGATTGATCCTTTTTCAGATACACTAATAACATACATACTTCATAATAATTACTGGGTTGGACCTTTAGCTTTATGTGCCTCTTCTTTCCGTAGTCTGAGCTGGAAATAAACTGTTTTCCCTAATACAAGCATGTTAAGTTCTGAGCACATTCTGTGTTCAGATACAGTTATTCCCATTATCACTCACTGATTCCTGTAAGTCATCCCACCTCTGACCTCCAGCACAATATCAGCATCCCTATGAAAAGCAGAGGTATAAGACTTGGCAAAACCCAAGGCCAGCTCCTCAGTTAATATTTAGCAGATCTACTTGTTCTCCATTTCTGTCTCTCTCTCTTTTTTTTAATATTTTATTTTAGCCATGTAAACAAAAAATCTTTCACTAACTATTTTCTGGTTTCTTTAGCAAAGTCCAGCTCCATTTGGTAGTTCTTACGAGCTACCTGTCACTTTTTGTCCTCCAAAGCAGAGATTCCCCTCTTGATCAAGTTCTTCTTAAAACCTCTTCACTTACTCATAAAATTTCTTTTGAGCTTCTTGGTTGGCTGAGCTGGACTGGAAACTTTAACTACCAATTTCTTCTCCTTCATTAGGATTTTTTCTGACTTTGATTTAAAGATATTATCAAAAAGCACTTTTAAGGCATAGTTTGTTCAATCATATGTATATTTTTAAGAATGGTGATAACACTTATTCCACAAAAATTATACTTTTTTAAAGAACTGTATTATTAAGATGTCCTGCCTTCCATTTGCTAATCTTTACCAGATTATCTAAGATAATCAGTTAAAATTTAAAGTACTTGCAAACCCAAAATTTAACCAATGCTGAAAGTTAAACACAAGCTAGAAAACACGCTACTCAATTTGCACCTAGATAAAAGATCAGTCTTCTTAAGCTGACCTTCTAAAAAACTGCATTGGATACAAGCACTATATGAAACTAAAATATCCCCGTGTATCCAATGTGGGTGTAGTAAAAGCACATCAGCACAAGCTACTCATGCATAGGGAATCATGGATATAAGAGTAAAATCCCAGCTATCTGTTTGACGTGCCTTAATATGGAACAATAATTTCATTAATTTCTGTGTAGCAAAGGAACTGAACATAAGTGTTACAGAAGTTGCAATATCTCTAGTACAAGTTACTAGAGATAGCCAGTACACTTCGGAGTTTTTGAAAACATATGTTTGAATGGGTCAGTCTCTTCAATATCTGAATGGGATTATCTTAAAGGGCATGGCAGTCAGTGGATACTGACTACCTGCCACTGAGAATCAGTCTTCTTTATAACAGATCAAGCCACTCAAATTGGAAATAAAAGCTCTGTGCTTTTCTATTTCTGAGGATTCACTTTCAATAATAGCCAAAGACTGATCAAATGTATAGCTCAAAACCAAAAAAGCCCAGAGTTGTGTTTGAAAGTATCTTGCTCTGATATATCAAGGCATTAACTGGGAACCTTACACATTTCCAACCTGTTCTCTCTGTCGTTTTAGGGGAGAAATGACCAACAGCAGCGGGGAATGCAATTTTACAGACATTGACAGATTAGCAAAGACCCTGCAGTTGGGGATCTCCATCCCCACCTTCATTCTCGGGCTGGTTCTCAACGCCCTGGCCCTCTCCGTGTTCTGCTGCTTTTGGAAGAAACAGACCAAAACCTCAGTTTACATGATCAATCTCGCACTTGCAGATGTCTTGCTGCTTCTCTCGCTCCCGCTCAAACTGTACTACTCTACCAGAGCAGCGCCTGGACTCCTGTGCTCATTCATAGAGTCTCTCTATTTTGTCAACACATACGGCAGTATCTTCATCATTGTCTGCATTACTGTTGACAGATATATATGCATAAGGCATCCATTTGAAGGTCGGGCTAACCAATCCCCCAAACGGGCTATCATGATTTGCTGCTTCATCTGGGCGGTAGCTTGGCTTTGCAGCAGCCCAATGTATGTGTTTCACAAGAAAGATTATTTTAAATGCTTTCACAACATGTCAGAACAGGCATGGAGCATCCCCCTCATTGTTTCTGTGGAAATCTTTGGATATCTGATCCCACTCGCAGTGCTGGTTTTCTGCTCTGCCCAAAACATCTGGATCCTTCTGAATCACAAAAGTCAAGATAAAAAGAAGGTAGAAGGCAGTGGATCCTTACGAGTCATTATCATCAACCTCATGGTGTTTTTGGTATGCTTCACACCCGTCCACCTTGCAATCTGCCTACAGTGCCTGGTAAGACAGCATGTGATAGTGGACTGCAGTCTGAAACAAACCATCAGCCTCTTCATTCAGGTGTCAATGATATTAGCCAACCTGAACTGCTGCCTGGATGCCATCTTTTATTACTTTGCTGCAAAAGAATTTCGTGAGAAAACACACCTGAAAAAGGTTATTGAACTATGTCCTGTCTTTAAGCCTTGTGCCACATGATGGGACAGCCTGCGGTGGAAGAACGCCTCTTCCTCGGCTCCCACTTGCCCCAGAGGATGCCAACAGCATTATCCCTGACATAGCAGTAGGGTCACCTTGGCCATGGCAAGGAGGGTGCAGGAGGGAGGAGGGCAATGTTTTTCCAGTGAATGTGAACCTGTTCCATACTTTTCTTCCCTTTAAACACGAAAGAGGAAAAGTGTTGGAAAAAAGAACCAGCATTAGCAAAGTGACGGAGTGACACCAAAAGAAGCATTAGCCTTGACGGTATCTACTAAATGTGAAAGGCTTGACAGAGGAAAACTATCCAGATCGCTGGAATGCCACTTAAAATCAGCCTTTGTCATTGCTGCATCAGATTTCCTTTTGCCAACGTGATCAGAAAGTTGTTGCTAAGAGTCAAACATAGAAATAACTATTCAAAACCTTCTTTCTAACTTAGAAGGTATCTGAGAGTTAAAAGGCAGTATCCGGCCCTTTCCTTCTGTAAATCTTACAGAAGGTCTCTGTCAAAGTTCATTTGGTTTGAACAGCTGGGCCAGCCTGGGAGTGAATCCTCCTCCTGTAAGCATTATACACTGGTCAGGGCTGCTACACAGGACAGCAGACCCTGCTTTTCCATGGAGGACAAGCTGCCCAGTATACAACCCCAACGGAGTATCTTGGGTACCAGGAACTCCTTGGGCAACAAACATTTCTGACTATCTTTGCTGAGGCATCAGCATGGTTTTCTTCTGAAATTCTGAAACTGTTTTTGCACATGAAAACCAAAAGAACCCCTTCAAATATGGCATTTAGTGAAAGACCGTATGTGATTAACTGTATTTCTGCATCACTGTATTTCTATCAAAAATATAATATGACACATGTACAAAATTCTTCTGCCTGTCTTCTCATTCTTTCTTGGAGGAGGGGAATTAGGGAAGCAAGCCCTGCATCACAGAAAAATAGGGAGTGCCTATCTGATATACTCCTCACTCCCAGCTGGAAGACTGGACCAGCTCTATTCACCTCATTCCTTAGGGAAGTCCTTCTAGCCTGCACTGTACACTTCACAAAACGTCTCTGGAGATTCCTCAACCCTTCTCGGTCAGCACTTCTGGTATGTCACCACCCTTATGCCATTTGCAAGTTTGGCTCTGAGTCTAAACTAAAGGTTTCCTTGTTGCAATTTAAGCCTACCATTTCTTGTACCAGCATGGTTCATGCTCTTAGCCAGAAACACTTTCACATCGAGAAATCCATTTATGTGCCTTTTAAAAACAGCTATAAAAATGGTCTAAGATTGCTTGTAATCAAGTCTTCATTCTAGGGCAGATGTTCCCTTTATTCAAAAGGTGAAAAGAAATTACCTTCTGTCTAGAGCAAATTAAAAAGAAAGGGAGCCAGTTTTGAAAATACAATTTGCTGTCAGTTGATTTCCACAGAAATGATTGATTGTGTAAGTGGGCAGCTGCACATATCTAATGCTGAGCCTAATACACAAGCATTTTAAAACTTCTTAGTACTACAACTATGACCACAGCTGATGCACGCAAGGAGCTCAGAGGCAAAGAAAGGTTTTTATCATCATCATCGCATATGGGGCAAGATCGCAACCTGCAGAGGGGCAAGAGGAAGAGCTTTCCAAAACAGTAGGTTTTCAAAGCATTATTTGCTACTGCCTCAATTGTTCAGAAACTTGCAGCCTTTTCAATATGAGTTAACCTTTCTTTTTTGCACCTTTCACATTACTTTGCATATGAAGTATGTGTGAGAAAGAACATGTTCTACTAAATAAACTGTATATATGAAGTGTATGATTTGAAAATACCTTTTACTTCCCCAATCTGACAGCAGTGTATGATTCTTATCTACCTATTTAATTGCAAACTTTTACCATTTTCTCCTTAAAACAGCTCCAAGACTTAGTTGGAGATTTTCCTTCCCAGGAACTGCTTCAGGTTTATAACTATGGCAACCAAGAACAACTGAATAAACAGTAATAAACAGAAAAAGTAGAAACAGGAAAGATGATCACACCCAGAAGTTTGCAAAATTTACTAAGTTTTCTGTGGAAACCCTCTCCATAAATTCTTGACAACCTCCCACAACCCCCCCCCCCACACAAACTTTCATCATCAA